CCCAAGGAAGAGTTTGTACCTTCAAACCATTTTATGCCAATTCATGATTTCTCAGAAAATGTAGATAGCCTTACAAGCTTTAAATCCATTAAAAAGGGTAACGATAAGGACATCACTGCTGAGCTTGCCACTCCTGTGAAAGGACAGTCTGATGTTTTACTTTCTACCACCAGCAAAGAAATCATTTCATCTAAAATCTTAGCTACTTCTGTTGATGGCATGGAAGGGCCAGTAGATTTAAACCAAGTATCAGAGCAGAGACAAAATGTTGCAATACTGGAAAGTTTCTCTCTGGGAGATTTTAGAACTGATGTGAATGTTGTTCTTCAAAATAAGCAGTTAGAGAACTGCAATGGTGAAAAGCCTCCTTGTCTGGAGATTCTCACAAATGAGTTTGCGGTGTTAGAAACTGTAAATCCTCAGGGAACAGATGATCTGGACAATGTAGCCAATTCAAAGGGATGGAAGCCTCTTAGCACTCAAAGCACTGAGTATAATTTAGACTCTGCACCCAGTCTTGTTGAGGAATTTGCAGATTTTGCCACATTTTCCAAAAAGGAAAGGATACAACTAGAAGAAATAGGATGTGTGGTTTTAAATGATAGAGAATCACTAGCCATTCAGGAAAACAATAAAATTAATAGAGTCAATGAACTGAATTCTGTATAAAAAGTGTCTTTGGATAGAAACTTTGACAGCAAAGGAGAGGTTGATGGAGAATATCAGGTTTGTGTTTCAGAAATAGGCCTAGCGACTGACCGAAGCTTCGATGTTGGAAAACAAGGCCTTCCAGGACTGCAACAGGATGAATTTTTAAATTCAAGTGCTCAATCAAAGGCTTGGGGTTTGGTAGACTCAGTTGATAATTCAGAAGCCATTAGGAGAGAACAATGTGAAACTGAGGGGAAACTTGATTTTTTTAATTCTAAATGTGCTGACCTATGCATGGATTCTATTAAAACTTCAGATGTTGATGATGAAGTTGGTTCTTCCAAAGAAGAAAGTAGAAAATTTACTGATCCCCAAAGCCAAAATGTGGATTCCACAGAAGAGAATGCTTTGGAAGATTCTGTAAGTGTGAAAAACGGTGATAGTAGTAATGAATTTGTGACTTGCAATGAAACCAATGAGGATGATTTTGGTGACTTTGGCACAGCCAGTGGCACAACTCCCCCTTTTGTTACTGGCACTCAAGATTCAATGAGTGACGTCACGTTCGAAGAGTCTTCAGAGCACTTTCCACATTTTAGTGAACCAAGTGATGGCTTTGGAGAATTTGGGGATATGAATG